CCTGTGAAAAGCGTGCACGGAGCGTTCTGAGTCGGCCTGAGGAAGGAAGCGCTCCCCAGGCAGCCACTGTAGTCGGCCCGGGGGGCCGTGGTCCTTCCACGGGCCTGGTGTCGAGAGGCCTCTGTGTGGAGGGCAGTGCCGGGCGCTGCCGGGATTAGGCCAGCCGCGCTCCCCCTCTCTCCCTGGGCATGGTTCTTCCATTACAGGGCCAGACCGACAGCGCTCCTCTGCCAGGTTTTAGGCTTGGGACCGGTGGTGAGCTGCTCTTTGGCATTTAAATCTCTTGTAAGCGTAGTGGGGTAGCCCCGAGGCTGTTTGCTGGCTCTGTGTGTAGAGAAGCGATGGCTTGAAGGGGCCCTGCTCCTCGCTATTACTTAACCTGTGCTGCCAGCTCTAGTTTAGCGGCCCCAAAGACCTGTCAGTTCTGACAATTGAAATCCAGTACCATGGGCATCTGGTTGCCCAAAATCTAAGCGACGCTGTCCCCCAGAGTCACTGCGAGACTACCTGGCCTAACACTGGCTGTTTTTCAGAGGTGGCGTATTCCCAGAGCACTGGCCAGAAGGAGCAGCTGAGCCGCTGCCTGCAGCGAGGTAAGAGCGTGCCGTTCAGTTTCCTTCACACCCCAGTTCTCCCCTGCTGCTACTCCGGTTTGTTTAACATGTTTTTAATGCTCTCTGAAATGGTAAAAGCCTTCGGAGCTGGCAGTAAAGCATGAAGAAGGCAGTTAGTTCTGCGTTCAGCCTGTGCATGCCTTGGGGAAACTGCCTCACCTGCACTAAGGGGCTTGGGGGATCTTTTCACGCTGTCTGCAGGGCTGCAGGAACTGGGCTGCTCTCGTGCCTTTGCCTGGGGCTGGGTGGTTGCTGGCTGCAGTGTAATATTGAGGAGAGGGGTGTATCGGAAGCTGCTTGAGCTGATCTTTAAGGGTGGTGTCTTCTCACAGGGATCAGGCGGGTCCAGGACCTATGTAAAGTCCTCCAGCTCCCGATGGTGTTCGAGGAAACGGCAGTGTCGTACTTCCAGAGAGCTCTGCAGCACCCCTCCTTCCACCTGGTCAGTCTGGAGAAGAAGGAGCTCCTGGGGGGCTGCTGCATCTTCGTCACTTGTCGACAGCACAACTGGCCCCTGACGATGGGGACGATCTGCTCCCTCCTTTACGTGAAGCAGGAGCTGTTTGCCAGCGTCTACCTGAGCCTTCAGAAGGAGCTCGGGCTCTCTGTGCCGGCCCTGAGCCTGGGGGATCTGGTGAAGACGCACCTGAACAGGTAACGGGGCCCCTTTCAGCCATTTCAGAGTCCCACGTTTGACACTGTGGGTGGAAAAGCTTCTGAAACGCAGCCGTGGCCAGGGCAGAAGTCCACAAGCACACACAGCGTGACCTGTGCTGTTGCACGGGCAAGTTGTTGCCGAGTGCTCTAAGGCAAAACCAGATCAACTGGAAGAGTATTCCCTCGGACAGTGCAGCCCTGCGTGCTAAGGGGGGGCACATTTACCGAGAGCCCGCTAGGTTGGGTGGCAGCATCCGAAATTTGTGATCTGGGAGCGCACTCTGTTGTCCCTTGAATGACAAACTTCATCGAGTTCTCGCTCCATCCAGCGATCGTAGTACAACAGAGTAGCCCCGAGGTGGACGTGAGCAGCCGAAGGAGCAGGACTGGTGTTTGCTGATGGGCCGGGGGCGATGGCCCACGTATGTGCTGGGGTTTTTACAGACTGTGATGGCTTTTTTGCCTCCCTTATCACAGCCTGGGCTGTGATTCTTCTCTTCCTGCCCCTTTCTCCTCAGTTTGGAGAGTGGGCAGTGCAGCACTTGGCTAGGTAACATGAGCAGAAGCCCATCGCAGGAGCAGGGTGTGTTCATAGAGTAGTTTGGGTTGGAAGGGACCTCTAAAGGCCATCTAGCCCAACCCCCCTGCCCTGGGCAGGGACATCTTCAACTAGATCAGGTTGCTCAGAGCCCCGTCCAACCTGACCTGGAATGTTTCCAGGGACGGGGCATCCACCACCTCTCTGGGCGAAACCTGTGCCAGTGCTTCACCACCCTCAGTGTAAAAAATTTCCTGTTTGTCCTGAAGGACCTTACTGCAGCCAGCTGGATTACTGAGGCGCTGCGTGGTGAGGCTTCCCTGTGTCCTGGTGCTAACGATGGGCTCTTTGCTCTTGCAGCTTTCGGCTGTTCCAGCACGCAGCCAACGTCCCTGCCCCGTTTGTGGAGGACAAGGAGAAGATGGTCGCCCGAACAATGCAGATCGTGGAGCTGGCCAGCGAGACGTGGCTGGTCACCGGCCGTCACCCCGTTCCCATCGTCACGGCCGCGGCCTTCCTGT